GAGTTTGGAAGGATCCTGACTGCATGCATCCTTCTCAGCCCCCCCCCCCCCTCCCCCCGGCTTCCATTCATTGTCTACCTATCTCCGTTGTACCTCGAGACCACTCGGCCATCGCACACGCTCGACGTCTTGATCAAAGGCGCGCCCAAACCTTAACTGTTTCAAGGATGGCCACTCCACATTCTCCACAGGGTGATTGAAGCTCTGGCCCAGCCAAATGATCTGCGCGCGTCGCCGTTAACGACGAAAGGCGTTCGATGCAAGCAAGCGTTTGCAGCTAGGGAAAGTTTCAGACTGAGTTCCTCACATAGAGTCGTGGCCGGCCTAAGATGGGGGCAAGGACTGACCTCTAGCCGGGCGGGCCACCGCACGCCCTCGATGCTGCCGTTGAAATTATCGCCGAAAGATAACCGACGAAGGTCGCGAGGCCAGACCACATCGGTCGGGAAGTCCTGCAAATCGTACCTGTTGCGTCAAGAAACGTAAAGAACACGAAATAAAACGGACGGGAGTGGGGCTGGAGTAGGCACTGCGAGTATTGAAAGCCGAATACTACGGGAGTAAAGCAGTGCCTTCCTGGTGCTTCGAACTGCTGCCGTGTTCTCGCAACCGTCGTGAACATGTCCCCGGAGTTCACAACGACAATTTTGGGCACAATAGACAACAGCAGCAGTTCTTCAACGAAACAAGCCGAAGCCTCTATGTGGTGCTTTTTTCTCAAACGTCGAACGCATTTTAATAAGAAAGACAAGGCCCTCTGGGAGTCTCCTCCGATTGATGCGATGGCGTCGAGCGTTCGTCAACACCTCCGGACTACAATGTAAAGTTCATGTTACATATCCTGCCGGTCAAAACTGTTGATGTTGGCATCGGGCGAGTAATTTTACCTATTTACCTGCAGCAGGTTGGAAGCAGCTTCTACAAGGAAGCCTTTTAACATCATGCCATCATGCCTTTGACTGGGGTGCCATCTCGAACGGGGTTCTTGCACTGAGTAGGAAGTACGTCGAGTACTTCCTCCTTCGCCCGGAAAAAAATCTGCTGTGAAACTGCTGAAGAATATCATTCGTACAGAGCACACACGACCCCACGTGATGGCCACGATGCTTACGTAAGATGATGGATTGCCACTGGAACTTGAATCCTGTCACAACGTCCCTCGTTCGCACCAGCGGCAGCAGCAGGGCGAAGGACGTTGATCAAGCGAGCTGGCGTGCTTTGCGCTATCGTCAATTTCCAGCGCAGACTCTCCCGCAGGGTGTTGCAGTACGAAACGCACACGAGGCTTAGAGTCGACTCGCAACCCACGTTGTCAAACCCACTCCTGCACACCAGGCCGAGAGCTTTGTAGACCGCGCTTCCGCTCTGATATTCCCCGTACGCATTTTTGTCCGGCGCCTCTGTGCTGGTACTGCCGCTGCTGCTGTTGCTCTTCGTGGTACCACGGCCCGTTGGAGTTGCTCCGTCGCCAGTGGACGGACACGTCCGCTTAATCGTATGCATTTGACTATAGCACAATAATAAACACGCTTTGATAGCTAAGAGGGTTGATGCTCGAGCCAATCAGCAGCCAACGTCAAAACAGGTTGACGTTTGAGTCTCTCCCCGCCTCTCAGCACGCAAGACGGAGAGTAAAGCGTCAGTGAGGAGGAGCAGCATGCGTGTCGGCTGCGGCATATCTCATCTCATCTGTCTCTGTCTCTCAGAGGTTCCAGGTTTCACCGCCCTCCGCCACCCCCACCCCTCCTCCCATATTTCTCTGTCTGCGTGCCCCCGTCTTTCGGCGGCTCCTTGCTCTGCCCTCTCGCTTTCGTTATCATCCCTTTGCCTGCTGCTGCAACGACCACACGCTTGCGTTGCTGCTCACCTCTCGATAGACACAACAGGCAAAGAGATGGATTTCAACGGAGGCCGAGCGATCTCTCTGGCCGTGACGACGGCGGCGTGCCTCCTTTCCGCGGAGCCCGGCTCCGCCTTCATCGCTCCCGCTGTGGTCACCTCGACCCGCGCCTCCACGGCCGCATCTTCGACCCCCACCATGGTTTCGGCGTCTCCCTCCAAGACTTTCGTCACCACCAAGTCGGAGGAGACCTTCGAAGAGGCTAAGGTATGCCCGGGCCGGTGGCGGCATTGCAGGCCCTCGGGTGTGCACGCGAGGCCGAGGAAAGCCAACGGTATCAGGTAGCAAGGCTAACATGAACATATTGGGCAAGTGTCTGTGGACACGTGTATGTATGCGGCTCTCAGGAGGTGTGTCTGTGCTCCTACAAGCTACAGCCTCGCCTACCCAAAGCGCTTGGCGGGATCTGCGGTGCACCGATGCCGTGCACATCACCCACGCGACGCCTTCGTTGCTGCGCGTAGTATTTGCTACCCTTGTCTTCCTCTATTTGACTACATTCACCTCGGGATCTCGATGCATCCCGATCCTTGGAAAGTCAAGGTGTTGTTGGCCGCTTGCCGCTTGCTGCTCTCCAACGCCTGCTTGTCGCCTGCTGCCTTCCACCAACACGCTTCTGACGTGCTTATCCCGTTGGACCGCTCGCAGGGAATCATGCCGGGAGGCGTGAGCTCTCCCGTGCGCGCGTTCAAGTCGGTGGGCGGAAACCCGATCGTGTTCGAGCGCGTCAAGGGCGCCTACGCCTGGGATGTGGACGGGTGGGTTCAGAGGAGCTCTGTCTCAAACAGACAACATGTAGATGCTGCTGTACCGCCATGCGATCCCCTGACCTCTACGTATGTTTTAACACATCGTAGTGGTCTTGACAAACGGCTGTTTTGGTGTACCCAGCTTTGCTAGCTACTGCCCTAGCACGTATCGTGTTTGGTTTGCGCTCTTGTAGGGATTGCTGGTGGCATTTTTCTCCTGTGTCTTTTTGTGGATGCCCAGATTGCAGGGACGGCGGGAAAAGCACATGATTCATGCATGTTCCATCTCTGCGGCATTGTCCTCCGTACGTTGGACGCATATGTGTCAACGAGCTTTTTTGCTGTACGAAGTACAAGGGATGGCAAGAAGAGCTTCTCGAGCGCTGGTTGCTCGATTGCCGCCGCTGGATGCCTCTGCCGTCCAGCATCTCGGCACCATCTAGAGTGCTCTCTACTGCTGTTGTTGTTGTTGACGTTGAAGCAAGGCAAGCGGCACATTACACGATGTGGTGGAAAGAATTTTCTCATCTCAGTATTGTACATCAGCAGTCCGTTGCCTTTGTTAATCGGCCATCGGCATGGTATCCACTGCTCCCCACCTTTTCATTCAAGCCGCCCAATTTTGTGAACCTCTCCCACTCTCAACAGGAACAAGTACACCGACTACGTCGGCACGTGGGGGCCGGCCATCGTTGGCCACGCTGACGACGAGGTTCTCGACGCCATCAAGGTACAGCAGCATGCATTAAGGAAAAATAAATACACACACTTGAAAGACTACCCAATCGAGATATAACCACAGTCGAACGGGATGTGGTGGAGTCTTTTCAGTGAGTGCAGGAAAACCGGTTGGGTACTGGACTTATTTCGAGTCTTTTTCAAGTCTTTACACTGATGATTTATATCAGTGATATATAACAGCAGGTTGATGTGTTTTTATAATATGTGACCGGACACATCATTTGGCCTCACGTTTGACCCTACTCTCAAGATCTAACGGTAGTGGGCCGGGCTAGCTAGAGGTGATCTGGTCGCTAAACAGGGCAAGCCGGTGTAGTGGCCACAAGTCCGGGGTGAATTGGCGCCACGCGATTGTGTGGTCACCTTGTGCAGGGCATGTCGCTAAACAGCTACAACAAAGAGTTTGCTAACCCGCCCTACCCACCACTGCTATTAGTGAAGTTGGTGCTTGCTTACCAACGACCCATGTTCTGACGCAAACAGCGCGTGCAGAAACGGCCGTCTTTGATGAGCGAGAGAACGAAAACAGACCGCACTTGTTCCGATAAGGGTTTGCTTCAGGCTCGGACTTGAGCACAGCATAGCGGTGATCGACCAACACGATTGGCTTGGGAATTGCGCGAGCGCTGGTTATCATGGTATTCTTTCTGTCAACCTGATGGTATAGCTTTGTACACACGCCGGCAACGTCAAGTTTGGTAGTCGTGGTACACACCCGAGGCGTCAGCGTGCATGTACCCGTACATGCGCTCTCTCGCGTATAGTGGATGCTCACACGATCCCCACGTCCACACTGCTGCCCCTTCCCTTAGTCTAATCTCTTCTTATTTAGCCGTTCACCGCTTCTTACCGCACATTCTTTTATGATACACACTGATGGACGCATTCTTTTCCTAATGTTCTTTTTTAGGAAACGCTCGAGAAGGGTACGTCTTTTGGCGCCCCCTCCCTGCACGAGAACACCCTCGCCAAGATGGTCATCGACGCTGTACCATCGGTGGACATGGTCCGATTCACCAACTCCGGCACGGAGGTCGGTCTGTCCCCTGCCCCCCGTTTACGTGTTGCGATGTTTTTGTCCTGCAGAAGTATTTGGTAGCACGAGGTGATGCATGATGGCGATGTTTCAAATGAGACTTTTGTTGTTGTTGTTGTTGTTGTTGTTGTTGTTGTTGGTTGGCATCGCCCGTGGTGAACAGGGGCCGCGGCCAATGGAGTGGCCGTTTCTGGTGGGGTGTGGAATAATTGCTGACTGAGGGCTCCGGTTGATCCCCTTGCCCCCGTGTGTTCAGCGTGTTTTTTTACTGTGCATCGGCCGCGCTTACCGGCAGACCAATCACGTCAGGCGTCACGCTAATCTTGTGACGGGAAAAACCGATTACGCGCCTTTAGTGTGGGCGTGAGGTTGCCAGTAGTGGACGGAAATACCTTGGGTTGCCGCTGCGTGTATCGGCGCCGTTGGTGTTGATGTGGTCGGGTCTCGCGGTGTGCATGTTTGTTGATACAGCAGTACGGGCACCCCCCTGCTACAGCTGAGAGTGAGGGAGCTTCCGTGCGCCCGAGAAACTTGTGCGCAAAATCGACCTCGCTCGATGGATTTGGCCCAGCCTCACTCCCGTATGGCGTGATCTGTGGGCCTGATGATATTCTCTCGCCCGCCGCCGGTTGAGAACGAAGAGTGCTTCTGATTCGTCGAGCTTTCACCCTTTCGACTGAGATGTATTGCTGGTATTGTTTTATCATCCACAAACCGCCGATCTCCTCTCTGATTGTTTCGCACTGCTTTGCACCACCACCACCACTTTGGATTGCCGCAGGCGTGCATGGGCATGCTCCGGCTGGTCCGCGCCTACACCAAGCGCGAGAAGATCGTGAAGTTCGATGGGTGCTACCACGGGCACGCCGACGGTTTCCTGGTGCAGGCTGGATCCGGGGTCGCCACCCTCGGACTCCCCGACTCCCCCGGTGAGGATATTGTAACACCGACCCCGCCCTAGCAGCACGACACCCCATGAAATGATTATTTGAATTGATGATGGTGGCGTGAACTGACGCTTGATGGCATCAAAGGAAAAACGAAATCTGTGCGAAGAGACGAGTTGAAACGCGTGTCCTCCGACTAAATAGCGTGGTTGTATCTTGAAACGGTGGTCTTTCTGTGATGTTTTGTATGCACGTTTTCTATCCATCCAGCGAAATGTGTTTTTTGAGATGGAGTACAATGGGGGACGAAAGTTATGAAGGGGCAAGGATATGCCTAATACATCGTATGCATACGGGAATATGTAACCCTGGTTTCGTCCAATGCGTTGGGTGGTTGCTTGGTTGGACCCCGCAGGCGTACCCCAGGGTTCGACCCAGAACACCCTCGTTGCCACGTACAACGACCTCGAGAACGTGGAGGAGCTGATCAAGGGCGGTGACGTTGCCGCCGTAATCCTCGAGCCCGTCGTCGGCAACTCTGGCTTCATCAAGCCCACCCCGGAGTTCCTCAAGGGATGCCGCGAGCTGTGCACCAAGTACGGCACTCTTTTGGTGTTCGACGAGGTCATGACCGGCTTCCGCATCGCCTACGGCGGCGCACAGGTGATTTTAGTCGCCACGCCCATGCGACGTGTCACCAATTTCAGAACCGTTACACGCCTTGAACACCTGCTATGTTGATGTACACGCGTGGAACCTGTTTTTCGAGGCTGCGGTACGACACTTTTTTCGTCCCTAGATGCTGACCATCGGGTGGTCTCTCTGTCTGTCTCTATCTGTATCTCTCTCTTTCTTCTGTGCGTGTGTTTCTTCTCCTGTACTCCCGTTTGTGCTGGATATCGGCACATGGTCTTCGACGAACATGGCCTGATCGGACAACATCGCTGGTTTCCATGCACCTTTCGCGCATCCTACTACTGTACCCCTTCAGGACTACTTTGGCGTCACCCCCGACGTGACGACTATGGGCAAGGTGAGGATAACATAAAACACGCCTGCGAGCGCACTGAAACCGTGAGAATAGTTCCTGCGCGCTAATGTACGGTCCGCTATCCACATGGCATGTAAGTAATTTTCTCATAGACGGGCGTGTGTGTGGGTTTTATAGGGTGTTCCCTGATGACACTTGTTTAATTGTGTGTCAGTCGCGCTATCGGTAACCTACACGTGCGAACAGCCGTTGTTTGTTTTTCTCTCTTTCCGTGGCCATGATTGAAGCAGAACTGAATTCCCTTGGCGTGCCCGCACATGGACAAAATTGTCCGTCCCGTCGATGACTGGAGACAAAAGCCTTGACTTGCTGTCGTCCGCCCGCTGCCGCCGTCGCACGTGGCCTCAGGTGATCGGAGGTGGCCTTCCCGTTGGCGCTTACGGCGGTCGCAAGGACATCATGGAGATGGTGGCGCCGGCGGGCCCCATGTACCAGGCGGGTACCCTCTCGGGCAACCCCCTGGCCATGACCGCGGGAATCAAGGTGCGTTGCGGCGTGGATTATGGCCGGTTTTTCCCCGGGCAGTGTACACTGCTGTAGATTGTAGTGGTCTGAGCGGGAAAGCACAAGGTTATTAGAGGTCAGAGTAGCGCTTTCCTAAAACCAGGAACATATAGGTTAGGCAACTCGCGTACGCTTGTTGTATACATGTATGCATACACGCACGAGGAGGTCGTGAATTCCATGTTTCGGTACAATGCTGTGGACGCACCAGCCCGGGTCACACAGGATTTGTGTAAATACTTTCATTATGTTTTTTTCGGGATATTTAGACCGTTTTTGACATCTGTATGCTTATCTCGAAGAGATTTTTTCGAATATTTTCGAACGTTTAATTGAATGGAAGTGATGAACGTGCGAAGGATGTCGAAGAACTGGTCTGCGTCTGAAACGAACGGCCCTGACGACCCTTTTTTTTTGTTGTTCCCTGCTCGTCTCCGACCGCATCTTTCCGCCGATCGATAACCACGCACGCAGACCCTTGAGATCCTCCAGAGGCCCGGATCCTACGACAAGCTCGAGGCCTTGTCAAAGCGCATGGTGGAGGGAATCCTTGCCGCTGCCAAGGAGCACGGGCACGAGGCAACCGGCGGCTACATCCGCGGCATGTTCGGGTTCTACTTCAACAAGGGCCCCGTCAACAACTTCGTAGACGCCTCCAAGTCTGACTCAGGTCCGTGTGTTTTCGAGAGTTTTAGTATGTTACATGGACCTTGGTAGCAGGTTGTCCAATGCGGGTAAACGGAAAACGCTTCGAAAGGCCATTCGTTGTCTGGGACATCGTAAGGGGAGGTCATGGGGGGAGGCTAGTTTGGGCTGTGTATTCTAGGTGTTGTCATTGTCATTGTCACGTTGGAAGTTGACAGTTCGATGAGTTCTTCAAAACATATCTAGATAAGAGCCAATCAGTTCGTGTGTTGACCTTTTCATGCGGGCACTGTTTCTACCTCGTTTTATTGGCCTCCAAGGGCCCCTCAACCCTATGCGCGAATGGTCTCCCATTAATTGCAACGCCGCAACCAAAGGATGGCGATAATCCCCCCCACCCCTCCCGTTCGCGTCGGCTCCATACCCCCATTCTCCCGCTGGTGCTCGCCCCCGCTGTACCCACAGACAAGTTCGCACGGTGGCACCGTGGCATGCTGGAGAAGGGCATGTACCTGGCACCTTCCATGTACGAGGCCGGGTTCATGTCGCTAGCCCACACCGAGGAGGACGTAGACGCGACCATCGCCGCGGCAAGGGAAGTCATGGCCACCCTCTAATCGTCCCTCGAGTCCCACAATTTTTGAGACAGGAGCGGTGTCAGCTATAACCCGTCCGCCACAAGAGTAGTGTGTTTCTTATATCCCCGGCCGCTTGTTGAGTGGGTTGTCGAAAGAGATGCATGTGTATTACACCGCACGCCTAGTGTCGAGATTGGTGGGGGAAGCTTTGGTGAGCGGGGTATTGACTTCAGGCAGGGAGAGCACCGCACCCCCACAACCTGTGAAGGCTGCTGGGTTGTGCGGCGCCTGCGAGTTTATTGGTTTTAAGCACTGGCGTAGGAAAAAGTCGTCGAAAGCTCTAGGTGCTGGGTGGGGACCATGTGCCCGGGTAGCCGTAGTAAGTACTGTAGATTCGGCTATTCGTTCACGGTTTGTCGATTGCCTGGTTCGATAGACTTGGTCGTCGCCATCTGAAAGTTCCTGCTGTGCGAACCTAAGTGCGTGCATTCGTTGGTTAGAGTTTGTTGCCGACCCCTTGTCGCTGAATACGGCGCTTGTGTACCCATAGAAGGAGGCGTTTGGGGTGAAGATATGGAAATGTTGGTAGCGATTTTTCACACTCGTTGGTGAGGACAAATTCGGATGCCGCGTCAAGACCGGGCAATCGAAGTGAATAAACACGACGCTGCAGGAGTGGTGTACCCATAGAAGGAGGCGTTTGGGGTGAAGATATGGAAATGTTGGTGGCGATTTTTCACACTCGTTGGTGAGGACAAATTCGGTTGCCGCGTCAAGACCGGGCAATCGAAGTGAATAAACACGACGCTGCAGGAGTGGAAACATCCTGCCCTAGATGGCAGGCATGGCGCGGTTTGCCTCTGTCGCCATGTCTCTGTAGATAGATGCGCTAGCTCGACGACATTGATAAATGACAGTTTTTTTGGTGTCAGGTTTCAGAGGAAGAAAAAACCGCATGAAGTTATGATGGCATCGTCGCACTTGTTGGTGGTGGCGATGTAAAGAAAAACACCTGATTGAGTGACAAGTCCGAGGGTGCTCCACCACGCTCAATGGCGTTTTTCATGAAGGTATAGCAGCACGTTTCACTGGTCACGCACGGTAGGAGGCATCGACCGGTTGACCGGGTTGGTCCCCTTCGTCTTGAGCTTGTGGGATAACGTGGAAAGCGCGCCACCACTCTTGCTCTGACTATTTACGCCTGCTGTATGTTTCCTGTCACACAAGACGGGGAACGGTGCCTCTCCAAACCAAGCCAAGCGTTATCGTTGTTCTGGCCTATTTACTACCCGGGTCAGAAACAAAGCAGTCAATAGCCAGGACGTGCTCTCGCTGTTGTATAGTATGTAGTGGATCATCACCGATGGCGATGCATCTGCCGGATGTGTGTGTCCACGTGTACGCAATGGCGCCACCATTACCACGTAGTGCGCTCTTTTTCATATTGCCTTGAACAACCCGGCGCCCATGTGCATGCACGTAGTTTGTGGGGTTTAACACCTTCCCACTATCCACGACTATAACGAGGTTCACGCCAGGTGTTTTAGTCCTCAGGAGGGATGTACAACCATGTATGTACCATGTAAGCAAAGGCCTTGCTTGAAAACTTGTGTCCCCCAAATTCCGATCTGTCATTCTTCACATCTATTTCACGCTCTGAGTATACACAACATTGACATTTTCTGCTCTGCCCTTTTCCCACAGAAAAAACGAGCTGTTTGTAAGCAACAAGGTGCTCTGCCTCGTGCATGAACCACACCCGTCATGCCCGCCACGTCTATGAGCCTCCCCACGCCCCCAAGAATTCCACGCATTCACGTCATCCACTCGTCTCCATCAAGCTCCACCCGTAACTCCTCTCACGCTCTACAATTCCTTGTAATTCAAGTACAGCTTTTCCATGTTGATCAAGATCGAGAGACAAAAAAAGTGTGGCTGACTTCACCCTCGCCACGACATCACACACCCCGCCACACAAACCATTCACGGATATCTTGCACCCGTTTCACGACCCTCGATTCGACTCTACGGCGTATGATGAGTGTACACGGCAAACGCGCCAGACGCCCAAACACGCCTCCTTTTTGGTTGCTGCAATTGTTTTATATACTGGTCTTTCTCTCATCACAAAAATAATATTTTGTTTTGGAACCAACGGTACACCCTCCCCCCCCCCCAACGACCCAAATGATAAGAGCACCGTTTACAAGTATCGTCAAAAATAAGGGCCCAACAAAATCAAACATTGAATCGGAAAAGCGGGGACGCGAGGAACTATGCCCCTCCCGGGGATGCTTTCCTTTCGTCCCCTCCGCACACATCACAAGCAACAACCCCACCTCACGCCCTGGTACCCTTGCCCGGTCGACAAAATGATCGTACAGCACCAACCGCAGCGGCACAGATAGTGGTGGTGGTGGTGGTGGTGGTGGGTCTCTTAATAGAAACAGAAGGGTGGGCCAAAACTTGTTGTGTTTGTTTACTTGAGGGTGGCGACCTGCTCGCCCTGCTTGTACAGCCCCGCGTACACCCCGCCTGTTCAAGGGAAGGGAGAGTCAAGGGAAGGGAAACCCACGCACACGCCAAGCAATCAAGAAATCAAGCAATCCACGTGACACCAAGGGAAACGGAGACAGGCCGACAGGCAGTGTGAGAGAGACAATCAAGAGACAAAAAGAGAGGGGTGATTCTTGAGAGTAAGGCGCTCCTTAACACGGGTAGGTACTGTAGGGCAGGAACCGCAGTGACAATAACAGCTTAGCGCCTGAGAGAATAGCAAGGACAGTGCGCTTGCGGGACAACAGCAGAAACACATTGTTGGCTGACCATAGGACGCACGTTAGGAAACAAACTCCAACATCATCCTGCATGTAGCATACAAAACGAAGCAACACCGGGGGCCGTACGGTGCATACGTTCCACAACAAGCCAACCAGTTACAACAAGCCAGAACGATTCGATTAAGCGTAACAGAAGCCCGTGCATTTACAAGCGTTTTGTACGAAATCTCGGAAGGAAGACTCTGTCATGTCACTCTCTCACCTAAGGATAGTAGCTCTTCGTGCTTCCCCGATTCCACCAAACGTCCATTCTGAGTCGAAAAGGAAAAAAAAAAAAAAAAACAGGCGGGCGGGTTTTTGGGGGCGGGGCGAGTGGGTGAGGTATGGCGTACGGCACGCTACTGCAACGATTTGGCGAGGCAAGTTTTTCCATTCTACCGGCCGTTAAGTCCGGCTGTACCGTTCATGAGTCACTCGAGCACCACCCCTGACCCTCCCCGTAAGAATGCCTGCTTTGAAATGACGCACAGCAGCGCCGGCGTGTGAACAATAATCGGTAGAACCATGCAAGGTTATTGCACCAACCCGAGATGCGTCAAACTGCTTTACGTCACGCCGCAATGCAATGCATACCAAAACTCTACAGTAACACCCTAAAATGCGTGGCCATAGAGCCGAGCACATTTGGAGGCTACATGTACACATGTGATACATTAATATTCCAAACCACTTGTTGGTTTTTCTGTTTTAGTGTCGTTGTTTCTTGTTGTTGCGGCGTATTTTTTTGTTTTCGCGTCATATTTGCTTGCTTTTGCGTCGGTGTGTGCCCACTTTTTTTGGTTGGCCTCTGACCACCGCAGACAGGCGCGTCAGTTGAACCGGTACGGATGGTACTGACCAGAGACCGCAACGGTTTCAAAGATCAAGACAACAACAACAACAACAACATCGTTACCTGCATGACGACGATACGGTCCGCCCTCTGGATGGTGGCCAGCCGATGCGCAATCAAAATTACGGTGCGTCCCTTCCCCGCCGTGTCCAGCGCGTCTTGCACAAGGCGCTCACTCTCCACGTCTAACGCAGACGTAGGCTCGTCAAGCAGGAGCACCTGTTTAGTGCAAGGAAAGGGGAGAGGGTTACATGTTGTCAGATACAATACAACGTCCTTTGAGGAAGGATAAGGATACCCGAAATTCCTGCAACGCCAACACATCGAAACATGCTCAGGGTGCTCTACTTAAAACGACCAAATCTTCTCCCCCAAAGAACCAAAACTACTAGAAAAATACAACGAAGCTGCGTGGAATTTTCGCTCGGCTGCAAGTGCTCAGATGAATCAGGCCGCTTGTTGCGGTTCGCATCTTGTGGTCCGCAGGATTCAATAGCAACCCAATAATAGAAGAACCGCCGACGACAACGTTGTGCCTTCTCTGGATATAGCGAGGTATATGCTATGCATACGACTCTGAGATTGACACTGCAGCTTGAAAAGGGTACAAAAACGCGGGAGAGATAGAGACGGCCTCCGGACAACTTTTTCACATCTCGTGCAACATGCCTGAAACAAAAAAACAAGTTTCGTAGAGACGTTTGGGTGATTGGGTGTAGTGTGTCATGTCATATCATGTCGTGTCACCTCCAGGTCTCTGACGAGAGCCCTTGCGATGCGCAAAACAATCGCATCGGTTTTCATAGCGAGGTTGGATGTGTCAGGTCTGTCATTCACGTCATGTCATGTCGTGCCATTCATGTCATGTCACGGCATGTCGTGTCACCTCCGGATCTCTGATGAGAGCTCTTGCGATAGCCACCCTCTGCTTCTGCCCCCCGCTGAGCGAAGCACCCCCCTCCCCCACCAGTGTGTCGTACCCCTCCGGCAGCTCGCTGACGAAACTGAAACCGAAAAAAAAAGAAAGACATCCAACAACACGGTAGGACAACACGCGCACAACACGCACAATGAGAGCAATCACAAAGAACACGATAGCGAGAGAGAGAGAGAGAGAGAGAGAGAGAGAGAGAGAGAGAGAGAGAGAGAGAGAGAGAGAGAGCCGTTCAATACACGCACAAGAGCAAGCGAAAGAGGGTCGAGGGGGGGGGGGGGGAGAGAGAGAAGCAGGGAGGTGTGAAATCGAGAAATACGTGGAAAGCTAATCATGCTTGATGCGAAGAGTGCGATCGGGTGAGAAGTAACACCGAGCTTGGATGAAGATGCTTGGCCGAACATGTTTCCACGAGCCACAACGTGGACATCAAGACGTACGTAGTACTCGTATAAAATACGGTAGGGTGCAAACAATGTATTGTATTGTTGCCTGCCCTCTTCCTATGCGACTTGCTATGACCATCCTCCCTCCGAGTATGTACCTCATGCGCACGAGGTGAGCCCCTCAAGCTACGGCATGCGTTAGCCTAGAAAAGGATACAACGAACTCGAGGAGTCAAACGCTGCAGACTCAACACCAGCACCTGAATCCTTCAAATTCGCATAACACACGAGAACGTCACTTCGTATCTTGCCATATATATCTCGAGTTACATTTATTTTCACAATCACGCTGCGTTAAAAAATAGTAACCGCCGAGAGTATAATAAAAGAAGCAAATTCGATTATTGTACAAGTAATGCAAACCGATCGATCCAATCTTACATCGCTCGCTGAATTAGGCATCGCGGTATATATAAAATATACGGTTTAGGTTTCGTTGCTGGCACCCTCACTTTTAAGCCTGTTGAACAAGTATCGATGCGGGCAGGGAAACAAAGACTCGCGCATTTTCCTCTCACTTGTGTATATTGGCCGATTTGGCAGCCTTGTAAACATCCTCCATGCTGTAAGACCCCATTCCGTAGGCGATATTTTCTCTCACTGACGGGATGAAGAGAAGACAAACCACGTTCGTCAGTCAGTCGAGCCAAAGCCAAGTGGGGGAGCACGCACGATGCAATTGGGGCGGCGGGAGGAACAATAACGATGGTAACACAATGACATCGTGCCCAAGTATCATGCATCTAGTCTTGCCAAAAAGAGAGGAAAACAATCAATAACGTTAACAGCACCATCTGGTACATTGAAGCCCACGAACGGTGCAAAATGGGGAGTCAATGGCAAGACGAAATTCTGCACGTTGCACCAAGGGAGAATGAATGGGCTTCGGGACAAAGGGCACCAACGAAGAAACCTCCACGGGGACCGTCATGAGAATGGAGAGGAAATAACGGAAACAAACCCTCACGGGTCAACGAGAGAAAAATGGAAAGGGGGCTGTGACAGCTGAAAAATACTGTTAAAAGGGTGCGTAATGACCCGCCGTAAGCGGTGGGCTAAAAGCAAACTACAGGGGATATCAACAACAACAACAACAGTGATGATGATAAGGGTAGCGCACCTGATATCGGAAATAGCTGCGGCTCCTGTGTTACCCAGGACACAACGTTGCTGATGTCCGCCGGCTTGTACGTGGACAAATCCCTCCCCCCCAACAGAATGCTGCCTCCCTGCGGGTCATAGAACCTGCCACGTCGTGTAGTGTCGTTTCAACAATACGGAGTACCATGTATAAAAAAAAATGTCGGAATAATAGCAGGTACGGCAATCTCGTGTCGAGATATATCGTGTACCATTGATTTTGCCGTCGGTATATAGTAGCAGGTGTGGTAATCTCGTGTCGAGATCTACCGTGTTTTGATTTTGCCACCTCTTGGTCGCACGGGAATTTGGCAATATGATGCCGGTTGGAGTACTAAAAAATAGTAGGGGTTGTGGGGGGAATCCTGATCCATTCTCCGATGTCCTTGACAGCAGTCTCTCCTCAAGAATGAGACCCACGAGCACCACCACCAACAACAACAACAACAGCAACAACAACGGGGACAGCACTGTAACCGCAACACTGGCATCTAGAAGGTCCTCGTGGTAAAATGCTATCCTCCTTGTCATTTCTTCAACGTCGTCGATGGCGACGGTTTCACCTGCAGATGAGCCGCAGGATTGTCGACTTCCCTCCCCCCGACGAGCCCACGACAGCTACCTTCTCCCCGGGTCTTACGGTGAGGTTCAGACCGTCCAAAACGAGAACCCCTGCGTAGGGAGGATAGCGACGACCAACATACAAGCGGGGGCGCCATGGCATGCATCTTGCCGGATTCGACTTGCTTGCGGAGAATCTCAAGAGAGCAATAAATGTAATGAGCGTTCATGAGTATCGTAGTAGAGTCACAATAGAACAATGTTTTCTCAAAGTGTACTGTCGCCATGCCCTTTTCTGGGTAGTTCCGCGTGCCACCACGGAAGACATCCGTGTCAGTTGGACCGGTACGGGTGACAGAAGCTACGGAGAAGATATGGGAATGGTATCGCGTCAAGACGGCAGCAGCAACAACGACAACAGCAGCAGCATGATCTGCCTGCACCGTCCGCGAGAGATTTTCCGAACACATGTCCGCTGATAACATTCCGAAAAAGGGGAAAAAAGTCAACCAACCAAAACTCAACAGACCAAAGTCTCAGCCTGTGTTCTTGAAACAAAGTTTGTTGGCTTCCAAAGTACGACATTCCCAGTCAGACTCAGAAAGCATATTCTAGAGTATGTTTTTATGTATCTCATGAAATTAATTAGTTTCACTGATCCTTGAGTTTGAAGAAGACGTGTAACGCGCACCTGATCGTGTCGGGTACCCGAACGACACAGAATCAAATTCCACCCTCCCTCGCTGTCGCTGTCGCTCGCTCCCGGCGTGAGCAGACGTCGCCTGCTGCTGCTGCTGCAAATGCGGGGATGGCATGTCGGCATCCCCGCCCCCTTTGCTGCCGACGCTATTTGTCAAAGGCGGCGCGTGTTCTTCCATCTAGGTGGATCATGCAACCATGCAGCGAGCGAGAGAGACATACAGAGAGGGGTTCCACATGATCACAACTTCGCAGCCACTAGAAGCAGCAGACAGCACTGCTGTAGACAAATGAACCATACAGCACCAAAGCATACGATACTATAACCACACTGAAAAGAGCGGTATAATAGATATAATAGATGTATGCTAAAACGAGACCGCCGCATGACGCGAGACATTAGTGCAGTCTGGTGTAGTCCCCCAAGGCCACGAAAAAAACGATAGCAACAAAATGGCAACATGTGAGAAAACGAGAGGGGGTGCGGGGGAGAGAGAACAAGAGGTAAAGAGCGGGAGGATAAATGCTTTCCGGGACGACTGACGCTTGTGGTGTATGGGTTTGTTCGCCGTTTATTTACGATTCTGGAGTCAGACGCCCGTGCTCCATGATGTCCGTATTCGATGTTCACGATCGACGTCAATTTCGAGGTCGATAGTTAATTCCATGTCAATCTTCGAGAGTACTGTATGCATGCTTGAAGGGGGGCAATCTTCATCCTCATCTGGAAACCTAATTTTCTTCTACCACCACCAACCTTACCACGGTGGAGTCATGCTGCGTAAGAGTTGAAGACGAGGAATGCTCCACGGACTGTTTTCCTTCTGTCTTGGCTTGGCCGGTCATGATAGGCTCCCTGTCCAAAAGCTCGAACACCTTCTGCCCAGCCCCGAGCGCTTCTTGGATCTGCAGCATCACGTGGAATCGCATCACATGGCATCACATTGCATCCCATACAGCCTCGCATCACAGACAACACTACCACTACCAACAACACCTTACAACAGTAGCAATCCACCATCACACGGGAACCAGGGGAAAACGTGGTGCAACAGAAAAAAGGCCCATCCAACCACTGCGCAGCAGCCAGGCTATTACATAGAAGTATACATGTCACAATCGTCACCTTTGCCCACTGTAAAACCAAGAGCCAAGAGACATGGCGAGGGTGGTGAAATTGACGTTCCCCGGGGTGGGCACAGAGGCCAGTTGCATTTTCGATTCACCACAAAAGCAGCAGGCGTGAAGCAGCAGCAGCAGCAGCAGCAGCAGCAGCAGAGCGTGTAGCAAAAATTGCCATCAGTCAGTTGATGGTGTGTCAAGCGTCACGAAAAAGAAGAAACGTCGGTGAAAAAACGTCGGTGACAAAAAAATAAGTCCCCGGGTAGGGGGGGGGCGGAGTGCGATGAGACGACGGGGGGGGGGGGTATACCTAGCGACAGCATCATCTTACATGCACACCAGCAATATCGTACGAAGTCGTCCCCCAGTCCCAATCACAAATTTATGGTCGAGTTGCCGGTCAAAGCATCGCGCTACAGGCGTCGACTCTCACGAGACATGGAGCGAGGCACGCAAAAATCACACCGCCTCAAAACACAATCAACCGAATCAATCGAATGCGTCTAAAAATCCCGGCCGCAAGGCGGAAAGTGTTACTAGGCCGCATGTACACTTCGGGGGAAGCGAGTGCCGCCCTTTTCTCGCGGTGGATATCGAAGGGTAGCACCGTAGGAGGGTAGGGGGGCAGGGGGTCTCAGGGAGAGCAACCCTAATCCTTCTGTGTGACCACGGATTCGATCCCCTACACGGCAGAAATGCTGCGTATGAGCGCTGATTTAAAGTGATGCCCAAAAACAAAAACAAAGAAGCATCTACACCTGTATGTAGCTTGCTACAGTACCTGATCCCCCACGTCGAAGCTCGCGGAGGTGACGAACTGCGTGTAGAAGACGAAGGTTGTCAGTTGTTGCCCTGTCATGCGGCCGTCGAACACCCTTCCCGCGCCGAGCAACAGCACCGCACCAAGTAGAATCGCCTGAAGAATAAGAGAAGAGAATGAGTACATGTATGTACAGTATGAAACAGTGGTATTATAGGGTGCCTGGGAAGAAGTGTGTATATTCTTACCCAAGAAAAAAAATGAACAGGTACTGTAAATGGATCTATGACGTGGGCCTGCAGTTCAAAAGTGAAGTTGTTTCGTTGTGGGATAATACAAAAACGTGATACGCGAATGTGATCTAATTGGCTTTTTTGACTTTTTTTTTTTTATTCGGGAAAGGTATATGCTACCTACCGGAAGCGAGCTACACACCGTCGGTTGCAGAGAGACAAAGGGCCAACGGCCGCTACGTAGGAGTACGCGCACACCACCCGTCTCTGGTATGTTAGTATGGTACAGTGTATGCTGCTACTGCTGTACATGCCTGGCTCCAGCCGATTACCACCCTGGCTACGCCGTACGCGATACCCTGCGTCTCCTGCAGCTCGACCGAGTTGCCTATCTTGCCCCCGTACCTGCCCACAAACAAATACAAACAAAAAATGCGATGGCGGTTACAAGCAGCCGAAGTGACAGTCCCGTAGCCCCAGGAAGGAGCATCGTATTTATCCTAATTTACGGCCTCAAAGTCAAGACTCGGAGTTTCTTCGTTTTTTGTGCTCGCTGTCTCCCCAAAAAACGGTAGACAATCTATCCTACTATTATACACAGGTCTAAGGGCTTCGTCACTCGCCCAGCCTGAACACCCATGCCTGCGTACACACGGCTTTGGAGCAGAGAAAGTGGCGCAAACATGCAAAGAGAGAGGCAGGGCTGTCACCGCTCACCGTCGTCGCTCGTGCTGCTCGTTAGCGTGCGCCCTCACCACCCTGATGAGGGACAAGCTCTGCTCCGCCACGCTACCGGCCTCCGCGAGCGCGGTCTGCACCTTGGCGGATATCCTGCAGACCACACCACATGCCACATGCCACATGCAACATGCAACATGCAACATGCAACAAAAAACAGAACAGATCACACCTAGCACGCCTTTCTGCTTCACCACGCAATACTGCAATGGCGTCGAGCACACCCCTTCGACAAGGACATTATCTCGAACGAGTATGTAGTACTGCTGCGATCAATACAGCAGTAGTGTGCCCGAAATAACGCCGGCATGTATCCGGCGAATCGACCGGCGCCATTCAGAGGGACGGGTGCTATTCAAAGTACATAATTACGCGGTAAGTCAGTCCGTGCCCAGCAATCCCACCGGCGCGATACAGAGCCACCGGCGACACCCAACCGGCGCTGTTGAGGTCCCACTACTGCTATATATTCAAGTTCTAATAACGACATGGGCGTTCGTCACATCTAGCAGCAACACATGCATCAGGAGGAGCAAAAAAGAAGAGACGAGTGTTCCGTGTGCGGGCCGATCATCGACGCCATGTGCATGTCAACCCTGTCCACGGCAGTCGTGTTGGCTTGCCCTGCATCTCCCCTGTCCTGTCAAGCCATATCTGCGGAGTAACGCTCCCGAGTCCCTTTCTCTCGCTCTTCGAGAAGCGACCATAGGAAGAGACTTAGGGTAAGCTTACTTGCGGTTAGCTCCCGGGTCTTTTCTTGCTCACCTCGACAAAGACCGAAGGGCTAACGTTCGAGGTTGTGCTAGGATGTTTCTTTCTCTCACCGCCTGGAGAAACGACTCCAAGGATTTAGTTCGCTAGGGTTAGCGTTGGGGTTAGCGTTAGGGCTAGCTAGGGTGTCTCTTTCTCTCACCGCCTCGAGAAGCGACCGTAAGCGGTGGTGATGCCCCCGACCAACACAAGACCGACCAGGGCGACGCAGGCAAGCTGCCTCTCCAGCATGTAGAGGTATCCGAGACCTCCTACGGCCTGGATCACCTGCCTGTTGTTCAGAACAGACGCACGAAAACAACAAAGGTTTCGTGGAAAAAGGAAAGGTTGTACTGTGGCCAAGAAACGTGCAGGACAAAACAACAACATGCAACAACACCAACGACGGAAACGTCAACAACAACAGCATTCCCAGCAGTTATTAAACACAAACGGCGCGGACCACTCGACGAGACAGGAGGGACACCTGCAAAGAATGTTGACGTGAAAGCTGACCACGTTGCTGATCTTCGCCGTGTCGGAGGCCAAGCGGGACGTCAGCGCTCCGGTCTCATTAGAGTCTGCTCCCGGAGCACAACGAGAGAGATACAGGCGTGGGCAAAGAAGTGGCTTTCAACACGGCACAACGGAACGGGACGGTTTTTGCAGTGGTACGGTTAATTTCTAACGGAAAAGCAGCACAGCGAGAGAGGCACAGGCATCGGGACGGCGATTTTGAAGACGGTACTACGGAACGGGACGGTTATGCAATGGTACGGTAATCTTCTTACTGAAAAGCAGCACAGCCAGAGAGGCACAGGCATCGGGACGGCAGCACCCAGAGCCACGAAAGAACCAAGCCTGTTATGAAGACGGTACGGCCGGGCTGGGACTTGGCGATTTTGCCCGTGGGGTATGTCCTGAGTGATGGTTGTGTAAAATAACCTCGGAGCCCTCTGGAGTGCTGTGTGCGTCGGGCCAATCTCGCCATGCTCCAACCATGACGTCACGACAAGAGCATTCTACGGTGCCCCCCAGGACGAAGTCTTTATCACAAACAACCGCTGCATATTTGTTGGTACCAGCGGTGGAAGGGCGAGAAAAAATTGCCCGGAAAAAAAGTTCGTGACAAAACCATTCATGGCGTCGTTCTCGCGCCACGGTGCGGCACAACTCCCATCACCACCACGAAGGGGAACGTCTTGCTTCGGCGGCGGAATAAAAGACGTTTCGCCCGGAAACTATTCGAGACTGCTGTATATTCAATCACGCCGCATTGGTGACGGCGGGGCATGACGAACCGTTTCTCACCGTGGAAGGAAATGTCTTGCTTGAGTAGCGAAGACAGGAGGTCGAACCTAGAAGCAAAAAAATGAAATGCGGAAGAAATTAACAAAGAAGAGGGTGGCAGGAGAAGCGGGTTAGCCGCCCGTTACCGTATACACGCACGGGAACATGGGTGACACCGGCCAAAATAGAATACTCAGGAAGACAACAGCTGGTTTCATCTCCATTAACTTAGGAGGCACGCTGCCAATAAAAAAAAAAACTAGAAATATTTCTTTTTGACGTTTTTACTTGATTGAGCGATACGAGGTCGGTCGGCCGTGCCATCCGGGTAGAGGTTTCAGTTCCTATTCCATGTTCCACACCGCGCATGTGAAACAAAACGGTTGCAAACATCCAACATGAGGAGGTAGTGGAACACACACAGCCGTCTGCCTGCGGTCGCTAAATCTGTCAGAAAACGTGCACCTTGCAATCGAAGACAGGCACAATGTAGGCCTCGATAGACACATATGCTTCTATTCATGTGCTACATACCATTTCTGACTTCGAGAAAAGCCTTGTAGCATCTCCCATGACGCCTCACGGGGTCCCGATCATGGCCTTCGGGTGCGTTTTATGATTTCAGCCGCATTGAGACTTTCGTCTCTTCGTTGGTCAGTCAGTGTTCGTGTTCTTATCCCGCTAGAAGACTGCCGTCTTCCATTGGTCTGCCGGCTAGCGCGGTCGATGCTAATTTCAAACACGCACACAGGTCTATACAAGCATTTTGTGTTTTCCACCGCACTGAGACTGACTTCTTTTCATTGGTCAGCCGGCTAGCGCGGTCGATGCCAATGTTAACAAAACACACACACAACACACCCACCTGACTTTGGCAACGACGTGCGTCCCCGCAAGCCAGAAACACGCCCCCCGAAGACCCGTGAAAACCGAAGCCAGCAGGCTGTAGGCTACCATGCCTTGCAAACTTCGGGCGAACTCCTGCCGCGGGTTTCGTGACGCCACCGCACGTGACACAATCGGAAAGCAGATTGTTCACGTTACAGCAGTAGATCCCCTTCTTACTCGACCAGGTATTTTCGACCAATCAGAAAGCTCCCTGGCGAAGCAGTCACCAATCAGAACATGGCGGGCACCTTGTTTGTCTCTCTCTCTTATTTAGTAAACGGTCATCATGTATCTTTCTGTCAGGGTAACGTGGAGAACGGCCGAAGACGATGCGACGGTGGGATTGACGTCGAAGACTGCTGCCAGCAAGCCTTTCGGGTTACGCTGCGGATACAGGAGCTTAGAGCGGATATTCACGTCGCTGTCACCCGTGGTTCGGTGGGTCAGCGGTCACCACCAGACACGCCTCAAAAGCCATACCTGGTATAGCTTTCGAATCGCGTGTAGCTCAACCCTTTCGACAATGACAAGATTGTTCAACACGTCAAACACGAACCCTCGCAATGGAAAAAGTCTACAATGCACAAAAAACGACGAAGGAGGTGCCGTTTCAAAAGTCGCGTCGTTTGCTCACGGCGCGGTGTTCGCTGATAGCGACACACCAGTGGAGACGTTCTGTTCTTCATACACGTACCGCGTCACTGCTTGAAAAGCGCACGTCGAGCAACACGACGATGACCAACACCAACACCACCACCACCACCACCACCACCACCTACAACTACAAAAGTGGTGCTGCGAGTCGGGGGGCTGCCCAAGATCCACTCACCACGCGGTCGTTGGCGAACGCCGCGGCGTTAAGGGCCCTGCTGGAGTAGTGCGGCACCGCAATCTCACACGCGGCCGCGAGCACGAGGGTCACTATGCTGGCTAGCAGCACACCCCTTTGAGAGCGCACCAGTGTACCCATGTACCGCCACGCATCTCGCGGGGCCTTCGCTTTCTGTGGGGGCACGATTGCGACCGGGAAGAACTTAGTGAGGTGCATGGCGACGTCGGAGGAGCGCGGTGATGAGTTATTGTTACCGGCCGTGCCAACAGCCTCCCACGCGTGCAAGCGGTGAGCAGGGAGTGAGCGTCCTCGGGAAGTCGGTGCGCACTATCTGCTCTCTTTCTGCATCATCCCATATACATGCCCTAGGTCGCACAAGATAACACACCCCCTGGGACCGATTTTCAAAGCTAGGTCATTCGGTGGCCGCCGTGAGCCATACAACCAGCGGGTACGCTCACAAGGAAACTGAGCGTTGCAAAAACCTTGCTGGGGGTAGGAGGACTCACCATTCAAGGCTCCCCCTTAGTCATCAACAAAGGCGAGGGAATACAGCGGGTGGGCAACAGCAGCACCCAATCTCAAAAGACGGAACATCTGGTATAAAAAACTATCCGAAAGTCCCGTGATGAATCACTTCCACTACCTTTCGCAGCTAGCCTCACACAGCAGCGGCAGTCGCATGCGCTCTTAGCCGTGCAGAGGCTTCGGGGCACCGGCGGTGACCCCATCAGGCAGGGCGTTCGTGCTTGGTACTGCTCTATCTTATCACATCGGTGTCACGTTATCGGACAGTGACTCACTTCTCTACTGCTGAGGAAGGTCTCTCCCACGTGCCTTCGGAAGCTTCCGAACGATCGCCAAATAGACAGCTGTTGCGCAGCAAGGGGACAGCGTCCGAGTCACCGGTAGACAGCAGCAAGACGTTAGCGGTAGGGTATGATTGCATCTTCATGAGAAGCGCCAACAGCCTCGGGTTCCATAGAGGCATAGGACAACAAACCTACTTCAGAAAAAGCAGCAGCGGTAGCAGCAGCGATACTTGCAACCTGGGGGGTGACAGCAAAGGCCAGAAGACAGAGCGTCAAAGACACGCACGGTAACACAGAAACAAACAACCAGCCAATTACAACGTAAGTCATCTGTCCGAACGCGAGCAAAGCGCCCCGTAGGAAAAAAAAAAAAACGCCGTCACGCCGTCACGTTTTTTAAGATCGCTTGGGTCTCTCGAGCGGTGTATCCTTGGCATCATCCCCTGAACCCGCCTTCATCCTTCAAGCAACCCACCAACCCGTTGGCCTCATTGGAAACAACGTGTGAAACGTGCGATAGACCGTCGTTCTTCCTGTACGAAAAACACACATGTTTAGGGACGTGCTGAGGCTTCCTTTTCCTTCCCGAAAAAAAACTGACACATTTAGCGTCAACAGACTTGCCACGAACTGGGGGAAGCTGCTGCCCGGTTTGTCTGTGAGCACCTAGAGCAGCTAGCGGCCCCAGACAGATCTCGCATCTTCGCCTTTCCCGGGTGAGGGGAGCAGTTTCGAAAAGTGTCACTGATTCCCACGAGCAGCGACAAACTCTTCTGTAATGGTGACTCATGCACCATCCTCGCGCAATGTAGTCTGCCGAACGATTGCCACACCAACGCAACACCACCGACCAAGTGCAGGAGCACCACAGAGAAAAGTCGCGAAGTCGCAGCAAAAAAAATAATCTCACCTCAAATCCCATGTCGTTCACCGAGCTGTCCTTCCTGCCCCGAAACGGCCCTCCGTCACCGTCAACACCAACATCAACATCAACACCACCAACCGGCCGCCCCTCCACCCCCGCCGCTGCTGCTACTGGAAGTGCCGGTACCGGAGCGCGCAAGGCCCTCCCTCCGTTGTCCGCGCTACCCCCTCCTATCGCCCTTCCTTTTCTTGGTCGTAAGCGCCTATCCCGGAGCCGTGGAAACCCCCACCCGCCGCCGCCCTTGCCCTTGTCCACACGCACCATCGTCAAGCCCTGGCGCTGTTGCGGGTGTCCTCGTGGCAAGCCTGGGGCCCGAGCGAGCCCCCCCCCCCCCCCCCCCCGGGGGAGAACCCAAAAAAAAAATAAGGATGGGGGTTTTATCCTGAGGGTGCCCTTTCAAACAAGGAAAATTTAAAAAATTTGGAACTTTCCCAAAAAATAAAAAACCGGTGGTTTCTTTTAAGAAATCTCCGGTAAAAATGTGCGAAAAAACCCCAAGTTTGCTCTCCAGGAACGGCTAAAAAGGGGGTGTGCCGCTTTCAAGGGGGGACTACCGGGGGGGGGGGAACCCCTTTG